GGTATGGGCGGGAGCGAGGCGCCGCCGCAGCCGACTGGCCCGGGGGGGCCGATGCAGAAGGAGATGCAAAGGGCGCAGCTGGAGGATCGGGTCGCCAAGGCGCGAGCGGCGAGCGAGGCGCAGCTCGAGGCACGCGTGGCGGAGATCCTCAAGCCGGCGCTCGACGAGTGGGCCACCAGCGCCATCGACACCGCCGAGCTCGAGCGGCGAAAGGCGGCCGCGCCGGAGCAGGCAAAGGAGGAGCGCGAGCGGCGCGTCGGCCCGCTCGACGCCGCGCACGACGCGTTCACGGAGGCGGCGGCGGCGCGCGAGGAGGCGTGGGAGGCTTTTGCGAGCGCGTTTGTCGCGGAGCAGACGGCGGAGGGTGAGCTGCTCCGGTCGCTGGAGGCGGTGGAGGCGGCGGGGCAGCCCACCAACTGGCAGCCCACCCGGCCAGTGCATCGTGGGCAGCCACCTGGGTACGGTGCGCCGCTCGGGCCAGGCGGGCTGGGGATGCCGCCCCAAGGGATGGGGATGCCGCCCCAGGGAGGGATGGGGATGCCGCCGCAGGGCGCAGCGTTCCAGCAGCAGCAGGGCCAGCAAACTCAGGGGCAGGGGCAGCAGGGCTTTGACCCGCAAGATTTCCCGCAGACGCCACCTCCCGGCTTTGGGATGGGGTTCGGTGCGCCTGGCTTCGGCATGGGAACGCCTGGCTTCGGCATGGGAGCGCCAACGTTCGGAATGATGGCCTACGGCCCATCGCCCCCGCAGGGCACCGCCGAGCAGACGCCAAAGGAGGGTGCAGCCGGCGGGCAGGGCACCGCCCCGGGCGGCGGCGGGCGGGAGCCTCCCGGCGAGGACGCTTAGTGGGGCGCCAATGAGATGGACCGAGGACACATCCCGAGAGGCACAGAATGTGCTGACGCTGTCTGTGTAAGAGGTGAGAGTGCCAGAGTGAGCGCTCGCTCACGTGAATGTGCGTGTGCAAGATGTGGAACGTGCGCAACAATGCTGCTTCTGTGTGTGCATACACGTGTGCCGGTATGGTCGGGGTCGCGCGATAGTGATAACACTTTTTTGCCGGTCGGTAAAGGTGTGCGTGTGGATGCTGGGTTGAACAAAATCGAGGGACGCGACCCACCTCGCCACAGACGGTCCCGCGCCTCGCCGCTATGACGGCCACACGGCCGCAGCTCGTGTGCGTGTGGCCGTCTTTGTCCGGAGTGAATACTCCAACGCGCTCGTCGGTGGCGGCGTCCCTCGATTTCGCCGCGCTCGGCGAACCTCGACAGCGCTTTCGGTGGCATGCAGCTCTTTGCGACAGAAGCCTGGAGAGCAGCTCCTCTGCTGCTCACACACTCTGCACAGCTGACACAGCCTACTGTGCGGCTGCCACAGCTGTGACAGCGATGGGCTCGCCCTCACTGGCCCTCAGTCACTTGTGCTGCGGCTTGTGTGAGCGACACTGCTCGGCGACTGCCGGCACACTGTGAGACCATGGGTGTGAGGTGAAACCACGCTACCAGCGCTTGGTCACATCGGCCCCGAGGTCAGATCCATCTACTCTGTTGATGACAAGACTTGTCTACCCGCTGGAGCCGAGCAGGAGGGCTTGGCGCACAACCCCTGTTCAACTCACCCTCCACACCCCGTATAGTGAACACTGCGAACTATTCCATATATTCGTATTAGATCAAGGTGTCCTTTTGTAAAGGACAAGTCCTTTCAAAGTCATCGGCCTATCCGCGGTATAGTAAACACTGCGAACTATTCCATATATTCGTAGTGTGTGTATCTCTTCTTGTGTCTTGAGCTCGAACGCTCAGGCAGTGAGGCGGAGAAAATCTCTCGAAACTGAGTCTGAGATCTGAGATAAATAAATAAAAGAAAGGCATAAAATAAATAAATAAAACGGACACGCCAAAACGAGAGGGGAGAGGATCTTGTAAGTACTCGAGTAAGGACGACAACTTACTTCTCTTCTCAATCAGGGACACACATGATACGCTGCTTGCATTCACACATGATTTTCTATCTGCAATAAGTGCTTCGCCGCCCTCGCTGGAGTCGCTTAGGCGGCTCCCCAGTCTGAGTCCCGTGTCAGAAAAGAAAAGCAAAAAAGAATGACCGCTCGCAGAGGACCATTGGGTTTGTACTATTAACAACGAAGGCGCTCTCAAAAAAAAGAATTCTATGATACAAGCCTCTCTCTAAGAGCGTCGTCTACGCCTACTCTCTCACAGCACACTGGCACGACAAGGGCGCGGACTGGCGCGGACTGGCACACTCACCGCCTCACCGCCGGAGCGAAAAGGAAGAGGGCGGGGCGAACTCGAGTAGGGTCGCATGCAGGCTCCGATGTACGGGCTACGATGCGAGCAGCAGCCGTGCGGCCAGCCCTTGCGGTGCACGTTCCCAATGCGCCAACCCACGCTCGGCGCTATGAACCGGACGCTGCTCCTCACTCTCCCGTGCGTCCCGCCATCCGGCCCGCTCCTCCTCAGCTTCCACGGCCAGGGCGGCAACGCGAGCGGCTTTTCCGAGCAGCACGCGCCGCTCGTCTCGACGGCCGCCGCGCGAGGCTGGGTCGTCGCCTTTCCAGACGGGATGGCGGACGGGCACGACTCAGGGTGGAACGTCGGCACGAACGGCGACTCCTCCACGTGCCTGCCGAGGACCAACAACTCATACTGCCACGCCTCCTGCAGCACCCTGCGGCGCTGCTCCCGCTGCGCATGGAGCACCTGCTTTGACGACGTGGCCTTCGCCACCCGGCTCGTCTCGTCGCTCGTCGCCGCACACGGCCTCGATGCGTCTCGCGTGTTCGCGCTCGGCGAGAGCAACGGTGGCATGCTCGTCCACCACCTGGCGCAGGCGTCGCCGGCCCTCCTCCTCGCGGCGGTGGTCGTGTTCGCACTACCCCTCCTCGGCCACCTCGTCGAGCCGGAGCTGCTCGCGTCGCCGGTCCGCCGTACCACCTACGTGCTGCAGCTGCACGACCGCAACGACACCACCATCCCCTGGCAGGGCGGCCGCTCGTCGGACGGCGCGCCGAGCGAGATCGAGCCGAGATTCCCTGGCAAGATTGCCGGAGGTCAACACCGAGTGTCTGACCTCTCGAGGAAGCGCGCCTAGGCTGGGTGTACGAGCCGCTGCACCGCACCCTCGGCGTGTACGCGGCACTGCACGGTTGCGGCGAGGCGTGCTGCACCATCTCCACCACTACTCTCACCCCCTCCACCT